TTAATTCTGCACGTTTCCATCTGTCTGTCTGTTGATTAGTCTGCAAATCCCAATCAAACTGCGCGGGTACTGTTGTACCATTTATAAATTTTAAAACATTTTAACAAAACTGTGGTATTAAACCGCATTGACATAATATACAATGCTTGATTCGGTTACCTTCGTTTATTAAGAAGCACATGTTACATTTCCATCTTTGTCCGGCATCCACAAAAGTAACAAAAGGATTAATATATGTTCTGCACCGTCGGCATCTTGCTATGACTGTGTCTGTGATCACCGGAACTGCATCCTAAAAAATGGTGCAACATGATACAAATGAATAATATGAATAGGTAAATTCAATTGCAACTGATGCGTCTACTCACATCGCCATCTTTCAAACTCCTATAAGGAGTAATAATAAGTGCAAACGGTAAACGAGATTTGTTGAGGAGGGTTGAGGTTCCAGGTATGGCGTTTATGGTGCATCGTTTATAAGATGGATCACAATTTGCTTTGTCCGATGGGGTTACAGACGTCTTGAATCGGAAACATGTGATTTTCAGTTTAGTCCATATAATTTTTGTAACAGGAAATAAAATAATCGCATTATGTAACTTACATTAGGTGGTAGATTAATTGGTGGTGGAGGCGCATCCAGGTCTCTGACATTCGGAGGAATACCGATCAATTGAGTGGGAATTAATTGCAACTTTTTTTTTTTTGCAATTCAATTTTTTTAATTTCAAACAAGACAAACGATTTGAAGGTTAGTTCTGTTAATTCATAAAGTATGAGGCGCAAAAATAAATGTACCTGTGTTTGTCCACCAATGTTCATGTTACTTAATTGATTCCTTAATTGTGAAATTTCTGATTGTTGAGGCTGTGCATGTTGGCTATACATTGAAGTTGGAGTTGTAGCTTGGAAATTCTGATCTCCGGCAGGCGTAAAGAATTGAGCCTGTTGATATAGATTTTGCTGAAGGGGTTGTTGACCAGCGCCGGGAGCTGCTGATGGTGTGAAAGGTTGGTATGATTGATCATAAGTGTTATTTTCTGTGTAGGCTTCCGTAATTTGTTTTGGGTATAAACGCTTTGTCTTGTGAGTGCCTGCTGTGGGTGGCGTTGCGGCACGCTGCCCTAGATTTTCAACTGGAGGCGGAGATGTAGAATTTGGTATCGTTGCCTGATA